AGGCACGTGTCAGTCCTAGCCTGTTCTTTTTGCTCCCAATTTCTATACACCCACCTTTGATCCCTTTGGAATGCGCGATTCTGGGTATACCGCTCTGCTCGACTTTTATATCGGCGAATGCGGTTTGCCCATGCATAAATCTTCTGTTTCAGGAAGTCAACACGCTCCGTGATGTGCGATGCGTAATTCTGAGGCGAAATTGCAGTCCCTGAAAACGCTCTCTTCACGAATCGCATTATCCTCGGGCGAGTGTTGCCCTCCCTGAAACAGATCAATTTGGCAATAAGTGTTCTGACCTCGCCAATACGCCGTTCAATCCTGCACTGCCAAGCAGGTACAGCTGGTTTTGGTCGTGTGGCTCTATTGTAGTTGTCTGGTAATTTGACATTTGCCACACGACAAGCCGCTATAGCTGCGCAATACAGAATTGAGTGCGTATCAACGAGATCTTTGCTGTTGTCCAAATATGTTGGTAGCTGTGAGTCCAGAGCGCACATGATCGCTTTATTCTTTTTATGCATAGGCAAACGAGGCAAACGCGGTTTCAAATATGCGTGTCGATATTCCTGAATCGCACCCTCCAAAGTTCTCCTCAATTCATCACTGCATATGTGAGTACTTACTTCTGTAGTCCTATCATCATTCGGCACATCAGTAGAGTTTGGTTGTAACCCTTCTGTAGTTTGTGATGGCGGAATGATGACGCGGCTCCTTAGTACTTCACTTCGCAGTCGATCAAGTACGACATCTTCCAACATTCGATTCCGCTGGATGACTCGTACCTGATCCGATAATCGTTGTGCAGTTGCAGTTGTAGTTTAATATTATTAAAAAACTCAATTATATATAAAAAAAGACAAGATATTTCTTCACTTTCCATTAAGCATACAATTGAATTGTCCTGTGTGGAGCTGGATAGGCATGTTGTAATATGCGTTTATAGACCTCCTAACTTGCAAAACTTAAACGTTTTTAACTCAGTCATGAAACAAATTTTGCACAAAGCGTGTTCGAACTGTAATTTCACAATAGTATGTGGCGATTTTAATGTTGATCTCTTAGAAAACAATTCTAATTGTGTTAATTTGGTAAGTCTTTTTAAATCATTTGATTTGTCTAATGTTTTCCTTGAGCCCACCCGAGTAACATCCACCTCGGCTACATGTATAGATAATACATTTTGTAACTGTAATTATTTACATAAGGATATAATACCTTACCATCAGACCACAGTGGGTTAACAATGAACCTTAACAACATCACACAAAGGTGCCAAAAAAGGAAATAATGTTTAGGCAAATCACAAATAAAAGGCTTGAGTTATTAAATAACAATTTGAAACATAAATTATGCAGCCCATCACATGCTTATGAAGGTCCAAGTGAGATTTATGACAATCTACTGTCCGTGATTAAAACCCAGTTTGATAAGATATTCCCCTTAAGAAGAAAAACTATTGAGTGTAAATTTGTATTCTGTGACTGGACTACCCCAGGTATTCTTAGAAGTAGGGAAAGGTTATTTGAGCTATATGGTATGAAACCATTTAAGCCAGCAATTTAACCATTTCAGCAAGCATCTGTCCAAATATGCAAAAATATTTAAAACAGTTTGTAAGCAAGCTAAATCACTTTATATTGGCAATAAGATTAAGAATGCTGAAAATAAAACAAAAGCTACGTGGAAGGAGTCCGATTTTAGTAGGTACACGGATCCGCAATCAGTAATAAAGGCGTTTTTTTTTTTTTTTTTTATTATGTAATAAGTTGGCAAACGAGCAGACGGATTACCTGATGGTAAGCAATCAGCGCCGCCCATGGACAGCCGCAACGGAGGAGTTACGAGTGCGTTGCCGACCTTTTAGGGATTAGGGATTTGGAGATTAAGGGATTGAGGAGGGATTGGGGGAGGGGAAGGATTGGGCCTCCGGTAACCTCACTCACACGGCGAAACACAACGCTGTGGTTGTTTCACGCCGGTTTTCTGTGAGGTCGTGGTATCATTCCGGTCGAGCCGACCCATTCGTGCCGAAGCATGGCTCTCCCACACTTAAAATGTTTAAAGACATAAAAGTTAAGTCTACAGAGGATCTATGGGGAATGTCTGTTGCGGTGTGTAGGTCTTTTATAGAAGCTATAGCGCCTTATTTAGCTTTAATTTTTAATAGAAGTGTAGATCAGGGAGTTTTTCCAAATTTGATGAAACTTAGCAAGGTAGTTCCGTTGTTAAAATCTGGCGATGACAATGATCCCAATAACTATAGGCCGGTATCAATTTTACCTGTGTAGTGCTTAGTAAGGTGTTTGAAAAGCTAATGCTTTCTCCGATGCTACGACACTTTAACATAAATTCCATCTTTCATGACCAACAATATGGGTTTACCAAGGGTCGATGCACAACTGACGCCGGTAGTAGCTCTACTTAAGCATGTTTTTGCCTCATGGGAAAAGTCAAACGACGCTATTGGGATTTTTTGTGACATTTTGTGTGGAATAAAAGTTAATTTCCTGTCAAATGCAACGCCAAGGTTCCTTATTGTGTCCAGTTCACCAACTTAATCGCCCTTAATATGAAAGATATGATCAACCAAAGTATGCTTTCTGGAATATTTTACATGGTAGCACGTACATTTAGGTGCATTGCATTGTTATCACACCATTAAACAAGCCTGTAGTTCATACGCATCGTCTTTATTTTTAACAATTTTAACAAATTTTAAATCATCCGCTTACATAAAGATGTTATAATGACAAAAAACAGTAAAGAATATCTTTGATTAAATAATTGAATAGAACTGGACCCAAATGAAATCCTTGTGACACGCTAGATGAGATATAATGGGAAGTTGATTGAAATCCGTGCACCACTACAAAGGAAGATTGATTCACCTGATACGACTTCAACCACGAAAGCATTGATCCAATGATACCACACGCTTGCAATTTTTTAATCAGTATGTTATGCGAGACTTTGTCGAATGCCTTACTGAAATCTGTATATATTACATTAGCTTGATAACCTGCATCTATTGCTTCTGCAAACAGCTTTGCAAGTAGCACTAAATAAAATGTGACAGGTCATCTTGCTTACACAACGCTGTAGTTATTTCAAGCTGGTTATTAGGGTCCGGTCGCGAAGCATGGCTCTCCCATATTCAGCCCCAATTATAATTATTTACAGTTTGCAAGAAATCAATGAGATATACCTTGTATGTAATGGTGCCGGAGACAGTGCGCGAACCATTTAGTACAAACTGTTCTTCATACAGAAGCATTCGCGGTGACTGACACGACTTATAATACATTTCCTGCGTTGTATTGACTGGAAGCAAAATATAACTGAGGTTACAAAAAATCAATGATGCCGTAGTTTACATAGACATATTGCTTGCTTTTACATAATAAGAAGGTCAAGGTTATTCAATACCTTCAATACCATTACTAAAAATATATCAATTACAGTGAAACTTGGTTAAGTGGGACCTGGATAAGTGAGAAACCTCCATAACTGGAACTCATGCTGCGGTCCCAACACTTTGGCACTGAATTGCCTCTGTTAGTGGGACGACGCAAACCTGTATATCTGGGATTTGTTCTTTCGATTTATCATCATAGTTACCTCTATAACTGAGACAGCGAGTAAATTTTATAAGCATAAACCTCTGTAACTGAGATAACATTGTTTGTTTACTCATTTTTATTCTACCCACAAATTCCAAGTACGTAAGTACAAATTTAGAGCTTCAATTACCTTCAGTTTTAGTTTCGCTTTACTATGATACAGATGTTTATTTGAAAAATGCCAAAACGAAAGCTACAATCGTTATCATTACGTAAACTGAAGTTAATATCCGTTTATGAAAGACACGCGAAAAAGTTTGTGATTATGATTACCTTTAAGTACTATTTTTTTTTTATTAAAACCTATTTACATACATAACACGTTATTTTATTTAATGTGATCATTAAATAAAATAACGTGTTATGTAAACCTGTATAACTGAAATAACCTGTATTCTCACCTCTATTAATGGAACCCTCTGTAAACGAAACAGATATTTATTTATACCTGTATATCTGAGACACTGGGTAAGTGGAATACCTCTACAAGTGAAACGACATTGCAGGTCCCTTGATGTCTCACTTAACCAGGTTTCACTGTACTAATTTTGTATGGTATCGTGTGAGTGAAAGGTGTGTGTATGTGCTTATGTGTACGTATGTGAGTGTATTTGTGCGTATGTGTTTGTATGTAAGAATTGGTGAGGGCCTCAGTTTCTTGTTAGTATTAGTTAATGGTAGAAAAATATATAAGTTTCATCGTAATTTTTCGTCTCTAGCCATATCAGTAATGACTTTTCACATTTGTGGTGATACATGGAGGTTTCATCAAAATTATACTATTAAACAAAATAATAAGGGTTAAATAATAAGCACATCTTGATAAAATAATAAGCACATTATTTAAGAAAGTTACTTGCTATCTCCAATACATAATGATTTTCTGGAGGATACACTACATTAGCATGCCGCATAGAGTAAAACAAGTTATTTCTAAATAAACTCCTGCAACTTGCTACTCTTTTAAATTGAAGTGTCAAATCATTCGGAAACAGCAGCGTTTAAAGCGAAAGCTCTACTAAAATACGCAAATCAATTATCACTCATGAACATTGTAGCTATAGATCTATCAGCGAAAGAATTTTGGAAATCCGACCAGTGGTTCCATAGATTACTGCTACATACAAACTTACAAAATATTATACTCTTTATAATATTAAGAGTAGATTTTACAAATCATTTAATAGTATTCAAATTTAGAACAAGACATTGAAATTATAAATATTTGTTACACAAGTCCACATAAAAAAGCGTATTTAATAAGGCCGGAGTTACGAATTTGTGTGTGTGTGTGTGTGTGTGTGTGTGTGTGTGTGTGTGTGTGTGTCTGTGTGTGTGTGTGTGTGTATGTTCTATCAAATAAAACAAATGAAAACTTACACGGGTATATAGCGATCGCATGTTTGTCCTCGTAGGAAGGTTCGATGGTAAAATATTTTAGTTCTGTAGGATCATACAAATCTGGCCAAGTGAGGTAGTCGTGTTTGAAGACGAACACACTCGACGGGTGTGAGGGAGGGTTGATGACTCTGTAAAATATAAATGATTTATTGGTTGGTTGTAACACAATGATATTTAGAATATAGTACCTACTAGCCGCCACTGCCTGTCACGAGCATTCGAATACCTCGGTGTCAGAGGCTTGTTTCGTTACGCCACGTTATCAATAGGATTTCAGCCTCATTAATAACCGCTCTACTTTTTTAACTTATTAAATCCTTCAACTGCCCTTACCGGGACTAGTATAGAACGTCTTGGTGGCCCAGCGACTAAGGCGCCGCGCCGCTTCTATGGTGGCAGAAAAACATCGTGAGGGAACCTCGACTTATGCTGTCTGATAATAAGTTTGAAATCACCAGTCCGCCTTGAGCAAGCATAGTAATTAATGCTCAAGCCTTTTCCGTGTGAGAATACGTTGTTTAGGCTGATGATGAGACGTTCGTACGTGATGCCATGACCAGTTTTAATTCTAATTAATCTTACAAGTAGCCAATAGCCAATTCCTCCGCTCCCGCTTCGCACAGATATCCAATAACTTTTCGATTAGCTTTTTCCTGATTTTACCTTCTACAATTCTAAAGTGTTCTTTAATAAAACCTTGTCCTGACTATATCACACACAAAAACAAGAATTATCAAAGTTTGTTTAGGCATTATTGAGTTATGCGCTTACCAGATGATCGAGCCGAGAAGAAACGTCGCAGCGTTGGCTAGGTTTCAAAGAGCTTACAGTGAGATCAAGAGACAGAAGATTTTATCATATAATTGTAATATATTCAAGTCATTTCCATTCAATTGGAACTGGCTACTATTTCTTATGTTCCTTCCAATTCACGGGACCACAGGGTCCCGGACCTTTGGAAGGCGTAGGTACGAGGTGCCGAAGCCAACTCGCAGAGGCCGTTCAACAGTTTTAATATAAATGTGATGGGACATCAGCCGGCAATTATCCCTGAATGCACTATAAAAGCGAGCAAAACTATGGACTATTATTATTATTATACTCGATGAAAGTTTCGAGTTCTCTTTTATACAATCATTGCCCTAACAACATTAACAATTAGTTAGGGGATAACGTGCTTTATCTGTACTAGAGCCAGTATGTACGCGTACGTTCGGTACCTTAGTGCATTACAAAGAGGTACGTACGATGTGATTCCATGCATATGTACTTCGACGTCGTCGTCGTCAGCTCGCCTGGCGCTCTCCTCGCGAGTCACCGATTCGATCCAAGAGAAGTAGTGCAGCATGAAGACAAAACGAGCTGGCACCCCACATCCCGGCCCGTATAGGCTGAATCCAATCTGCAACTCAAACCCATTCACTCAACAGAACTGTACTCCACTCAAACATCATCATCATCATTATCAGAAAACCGTCATGAAATAACCATAGCGTTGTTTTTGGCCGTGTGAGGGACGTCAACGGAGGCTCAATCTTTTCTCTCCCCCAATCCCTAAATTTCCAAAAGGTCGGCAACACACTCGTATCTCCTCTGTTGGGGGTGTCCATGGGTGGCCCTGATTACTTACCATCAGGTAATGCTTCTGTCGTTTGACGTCCTATCACATAAAAAAATGAATGCAGAATGTTTGTGATACGTACGAATGTAAACTGGTCTGTGGTGTTAGCGGCCAGCACCAAGCCGTTTTCCCAGACGCAGGGCTCTCTACTGAACTGGTGCACTCCGCAAATATACGACCGAGGCTCGCGCCGCGGGTCTACCAGCTGGTGGACAAACAAAGTACAGTGTCAGTATGAGGGTCAGAGCTAAGTATAGGAAATACAAAAATTGATGGTAGACGATGTTCACAGAATACATCACCTTATGATGTTTAGTATCAACGGCCGATATAGTTCTACAAACAGAGAACCTGACAGGAGAGAAACAGAGACGTGATGAATCTATAAGAGTTTCGTTTACCGAAGAATCGGTGCCACCAGCCCAAAAAAATAGTTTGTTACTTAGTCATATTTTTTAAGGGAGACCTATATGCATTGGCACGAATGGGCTAGTGCGATCAGAGTTTTACCAAGGTTTCTTTATTCCCCTCTAAAACGCAAAGCGCTAAATTTAGGAACTTTGGTTTATCGAAATCGTTGACTTAGTTATCACAAAGTACACATACGATGCCCTACTCACACCCTCGTCCTTATAGAACTGGTCACACTGCTGCTTCTCTACCGCTTGAATCTTGAAAACAATCTTCTCCAATTTATCGTTATCTGCAACAATGTACGACAAACTTCGCCAGATAGGATGTACATTGATCAAAGGATTCTTAATTTGTCTCTTAGATCAGAAACATATTCCTTTAACAGAGTTTCTTGAGGAGGAGAAAGATCGCGTTGGACCAAGATACTCTTACGTCCCAGACCCGCAGGATAAACTACAGGCGAAAGGATCGCGAGGTTGTGTCAGGTCAAAACAAGTAAATCCAAGAACCTGTAACACATAGTTATGGGGAGCTGCACAGGGTAAATTTGTAATACCAAAGGTTAAAAATTACTATGGAAAAAAGACTAGGCAGTATTTGACCCCAATAACTTATAATAAAATAGCGTTCATAAGAAATATCAGTGATACCCTAAGCACATTATCCTTACCTTAAAGAAAAGACTGAAAACGGAATTTTTAAATGTGCTTAACACATAAGTATTAAAATTAATTGTATTGTCTTAGATATAAAAAATAAATAAATTAAAGATATCTTTTATTTACCTAATTATAAACAGTAGTTGTAAATAACAATATTGTTAAACATAAGAGCGCCACTATCGCCAACAAACTGTCTTACAGTTTGGCGATTTTTGATGTAAAGTTAATAATGTAAAACTATTTTTTTAATAAATATAAAAAAAAAATCGCGGCTCAACAGATGGCGACTACGTCTAAGTTAGGTTGGTTTCGTCGGAGATGAATCAAACAGCTATGTATGGCGCGTGGGGTTTTGTGCGCTCATCAAAAAGACATCAGACTGAACAGATGGGGTACACTAGTGTAGATATCCAGGGATTGCTGGTGCAAGCACAATGATTTTCTGCAACCTGGTTCGGAGTAGGATAAGGAACGAGTTGGTTTATTGTCAATAAGAGTCTGACACTTGATTTAGCCTCACCCAAAGGGCACTAAATGATTTCCAAATAAAAAAAAATAAAAGCTTGTCAAACTCTTACTGATAAAAGCCAACCCATTGATTCAAAAAAAGTCTGGAACAGTAACATTTAAAATTCAAATTTTCAAATTAATTATTTTGTACATAGTTTACTTTTTTTTTGTTAAATTGTCTGGGCTTGTTAATTCTAATTGTGTTTTTTTGTTAATTTGACAATTTTTCTATAGTATTTCTTCTTATAATATAGTCAGATAGGAAATGCCGGCTTCATCTATTTTTTATACAAACATTCGACGTTTAAATGTGCTGATTTATGACATACTTGCAAAAATAAATTCATCGTTTCATAAGTATGTAAGTACAATAGTAATTGTACATAGTTAACACAAGAAAATGTCGTACCGTCTGTATATCCGAAGAGGTGAAGTCCACCAGTGTCGTACATCGTGTTCGAGAAGCATATTGGAGTCAGCGGATCTGTTCATGGTAATGTACGAATATTTATTCTTAAACAAAATTATAGGCTATAACATAAGACTTGACTTATAAAAATGCCAAAATTTGAATTTCTTCGTCTTTTTGTCTTTTCGTCTTTTCGTCTTTTTGTCTTTTCGTCTTTTTGTCTTTTCGTCTTTTTGTCTTTTCGTCTTTTTGTCTTTTCGTCTTTTTGTCTTTTCGTCTTTTTGTCTTTTCGTCTTTTTGTCTTTTCGTCTTTTTGTCTTTTTGTCTTTTCGTCTTTTTGAGCGATGTCATCATCAACTAACTGTTGGGCTTTGTCGCCTTGTATCGTGTATGTGATATCTTTATAGTTGCATGGCGCAACAGAGTACCTTCACCACCAATGGACATTATAATAGTACCTAATAACAACCTCAGACTTCCCTTCAAGGTCCTATTCATATCTTTAAAAAAATTAACACGAAAACTTAGTTCAATTAATTGTTAGTACAACAAAATATTTAAGAACTTTCTTACTAAGTATTTAGTGGATTAATAACTAAACAAGACTCATGCTTTGATAACAGTGTAATAAGTGTCCACAGACGATATACCTGAATATTGTTCTTTACCACCAGTGGTAGTTAAATACTGTGTTACAGAAAGGTAATATTCCAGTTCCAAGATTTGTCCGATTAATAAATTATTAGGACATATAACTTGAGATATACTAAACGTATTTTAAATAACCACTTATTCATGTGACTTAATTGAGAAAAACTCGAATAGTTCTTTTCAAGCCACAACGGGGCGGTTGTCCATGAGCAGCGTGCGTGATGTGGCGAGGTCCCATTGGGTCTTGTAACTAGTAGATCTTTTCTCAAGTATAAGACATAAGACATTACAAAAGCATTCTCTGTGAGGTTTGTGGTCAGGTCAGGAAGACCATGAATACTATAGATAGCTTACTAATGTTCGGTACAGCGAGTTTGACGACGGCAATGGAGCTGTACACAACGGAGTCGTACTCTGGGTGAGTGACGAAGGAGAGCGGCCTGTAGTACACTGGCACACCATTTTTCGATAAGAACATGGCTCTACTCTCCTCTCTGGAACAATAATGTACAGACATTTTCTTTGATGATCATCATCGATAACCTATAAGTGCCTACTGCTAAGCAAAGGCCTTTCACTCGGAGAAGGTTTGAGCAAATCTACACACTTTTTTTTTATAATAGGTCGGCAAACGAGCAGACGGATTACCTGATGGCAAGCAATCAGCGCCGACCATGGACACTCGTAACGGAGGAGTTACGAGTGCGTTGCCGACCTTTTAGGGATTAGGGATTTGGAGATTTAGGGATTGAGGAGGGATTGGGAAAGGAGAAGGATTGGGCCTCCGGTAACCTCACTCACACGGCGAAACACAACGCTGTGGTTATTTCACGCCGGTTTTCTGTGAGGCCGTGGTATCACTTCGGGCGAGCCAAACCATGGCTCCATTCGTGCCAAAGCATGGCTCTCCCGCACTTAACATATTTCTTTTTATACTTTGTTTCAAACGAATACTTACAAGAAGATATTCTCTGGTATCCTGGCAATGTCGTCTGCATTGGCGAGCACATATTTGGGCTTAATGAGCACGATGCCAGTTACCGCTTCCTTGACCCCATCTCCATTGTCTGTGAAGTCAATACATGTGCCGTCACTTACAACTTCATTTCCTCCGTGCTTTTAGCAATAAAGAAAAGCCTCGTGTTCGTCTCGGCCTGTATAAAATAATTCTCAACCAACATTATTATTTTAATGATTACGATTTTGCTTTGGTGAAGTGACTTATTAACGCCCGGTTCCTATAATTAAGAAACGATCCGTTTTAATTACGAATAGTAGTTTTATATACGACTCGTAAGCTAAAACCATTCCTATAATAAACGTCTCGTCGTGCAACTTACTGACGGTTTGCAACTAACGGATATCGGTAAGCGAATTGTATGGAGATCTATGGCGTCTGGTGTTCCTATAAATATTTTAACCGTCAGTAGACGGTCAAGATAACTATTGGTAATGTCATTTGGTCGTAATGCGTATACAACGACGATTCGTTAAATATAGGAACTGGGCATAAATGGACTTAAGTTGACTGATTGTATGATCCAACAGTTTTCCGCTATGCACAGCGCCCGAATTATTTCGCAGGTGACCTTAATTGTCAATAGGTCAGATTGGTTGACAATGTATATCCAGATAATATACCTATATCCTCGGTGGTGCATCAGAACTCCTGCTGGGTTCCCATCGCAATGTTTCCTCCACTCAAAAAGATCAGCTCATAATAACTTTTGAAGTTTTGGGATATTTGAAGATGCCATAAACAGTGTATATGCTACTGGGTAGAAAGAAAGAAAGAAGAAAGAAAATGCATTTATTCGGCATCAAACATGAAAGCCAGAAAAAAACAAAAATACAACACAAAGAAAAAAAATACGCTAAATATACAGTATCATATACACAGTGTTGGCAGACAGCAGAACACACAGTGTTGACAGTGTTCTACAGGGTTGGCAGACATGTCTAAACAGAATGGGTCGCCAACTCAGCAAAAAGCTGGGCACACTGAGCACCCAACACTGATTTTCAGTTGGCACCCCTGCAGTGACGCACGGACGAAAGCAACGCATAACTAGTACGTTCGAATTATAATATAAGAAAGAAATTAAATTAAATATAAATTGTAAGAGCAAAGATCAAGTTCAAATGAAGAAAAGATACATGGAAAAATAATACCAGAATATATCAAAAACATACTAGGAAAAAAAAGAAATTTTGTAATATGAGGATATTATAATTGAAATGTACCGTGGGGTATTTGCAATATAAAACACCATGAAATCGCAGTAGTAAACTCAGAAGTTGTGGGTACTCGGTGGGGGTACTTATCTCCGCCATAAAAATTGTTGGCATGATTCGTGGCGGGAACTATATCACAAATATTACATGCGTGAACTCACCAAGCGATACTTTGAACAAGCCGAGCCAGCTGAAGTGGGAAGTCTCCCCCATGTTCCCGTCGCGTAATAACACGATCCTCTGTTTGTCACACCCCTGTGTCACTGATTGCTCTGTCACAGAAATTAGTAAGTACTATACAGGGTGTAAAAAGAAACTTAACGAAGCCGTTAACTACGCGTACTGCAGTTCTAACTAAGTAGCTTTACGCTAAAATTATCACTGGGAAACGACTTTTATTTTTAGGTATCAAAAAAATAATAATTTTATTGCGCGCAATGTAAAGCAAACGGGCTTCGTGTCATTGTGTGCGTAGGTTCACAGCTTAGAATGAAAACGCTGTGATAAGTAGGTTTTTTTTTTTTTTTTTTTGTGAGGGGAAAATCATCAAATGACTTCTCCCGCCCAGGGCCGGGCAGGAGGGAGTGTCAGACTCTTACTGACTAAAAACCCCCCTGTTCCTTCTCCTGCTCTGTGCCGAGGTCGCGGTACCTTATTGCGCTTACCCCGCAACCCCGGCTGAACATCAGCCCTTTAGGGCCCCGTCTGTGGTGGTCTATTGGCTCTTTGAGGCGCGCGCGGAACGCTACGCGCCGTACGCTCGGGTGATAAGTACGTACGTCGACGTTTTACATCGCAACAACAAAACAATTCTGTAAAATAAACATCCTACTGAGATGCACGATGTTTTTTGTGCGGGTCTGCATTTATTTATTACGTACATTACTGTTCGTAACTTCAAATGCGTAATTTATTTAGAAAAATCGAAAATTCAGGTAATGTTTGTTTGGAAAAAAGTTTTGTAATAATACTTAGAATTCGGTTGCGCAAAAAAATAAAAAATAAAAATGCATCTTTGACCTTCAATATCTCGAGAACCCGTGGAGTCCCAGCTATGGTCTTAAAGAAAAAAATGATCCAAATAATGGGTAGAATACGTGGCTTCGTTAAGTGTCTTTTTACACCTGGTATTATTTGTAGTTGCAAGTGCATTGCCGGTACTATGAGGATTCAAGTATTTATTGGGCCTCGTTAACCTTGTTTACACGGCGAAACACAAGGCTGGTGGTTTCACTCCAGTTTTCTGTGAGGCCAGTCGTGACAAGGCGTGTGTCAATGTCAACACAAAATAAGTAAAATTATTCATTATTTTTACTATAAGTAGCTTTTATACTTTGGAAATGAGTGTCGGAAAAACTATGCAATTAATATAAAAAATGTAGAAGAAACTCAATCATATATTATTTTAAGACTTATCCAAGCATATTGCAAATTACGTAATTGAAAAAAAAATCTTGTCATGGACGGCGCCAATTGCTTACCATGAGCTAATCCGCCTGTTCATTTGCTAGCGTATCACATAAAAAATCGTAGCGTATTAAATAATAGTCTGTCCCGAACTCTCTTCTGCTGTGAATCCGTGGGTAAAACTTGCTAGTTTTTTTTTATGGTATAAGTCGGCAAACGATCAGACGGATTACCTGATGGTAAGCAATCGGCGCCGCCCATGGACACCCGCAACACCAAAGGAGTTACGAGTGCGTTGCTGGCCTTTTGGGGATGGGGGTTGCGGATATAAGGATTGGGAAGGGATAGGGGAAGGGGAGGGATTGGGCCTCCGATAACCTCACTCACACGGCGAAACACAACGCTGTGGGTTGTTTCACGCCGGTATTCTGTGAGGCCGTGGTATCACTCCGGTCGAGCCGACCCATTCGTGCCGAAGCTTGGCTCTCCCACACTTAGTTATACTTAATAGATACTTACCGAATATAATCATTGAAATCCCCAGAAAGAGCACAGTTCTATACATGATTGTCTGTAGATATAATAATTACAACAGAAACAGTGTTCACTAGCAATACACACACACCGCGTCACCTTCGACAATATAACATAATGACATCCGACGCAGTTGGATCCATTGCACTTATATGTCGACAGGAACAGCTCACTGTGCTCACAGACAAAAATGATGTAACTAATGGAGGCATAAATCCACTGCGCTACTGCTTATTATAACAGATTAATGTTCTTTATGAATTTTCTTTTTGAGTATGTAAGTGCCATCCTCTGGCACGAATGGGCTGGCTCGTTCAGAGTGATACCACGGCCTCACAGAAAATCAGAATGAGACAACACTTACGTTTTGTTTCGCCGTGTGAGTGAGGTCACTGCCCCTACCCCCACATCATCAATCCTCAAATCGTAAAACCGATATATTTACTACAAGTGCATTGTTGGCCACTTGTGGGTTATTAGGGGTATGTGGCAAGAATTGGGCCTCCGGTAACCTCACCCACACGGCGAGACAGAACATAAGTGTTGCTTCACGCCGGTTTTATGTAAGGCCGTGGTGTCACTCCAGTCGAGCCGTCCTATTAGCAACGAAGTATGGCTTTCCCACACATAAAATGTGTGTACTCTACACAATATCATCACTTACCCCAAGCTAGACTTTATATTCTACACAAGTAAAGACATCCAACAACTATCCTGGCACTAATCGATTGATCGCGTTGGTACTCCACGTGCTGTTTACTCTGTGTAATCAATTAAATATGTTATTAATATGTTCGGATGTTTATTGTAATTTTGCACGAATTGCGTAACTTCAGCATTAATGGCAGATGAATATGCTGAAAATTTCTTATAAAAGATAAACAATAAAAAAATACCTTGATTGCCTTGATTTTAATATTAGCTGAGGAAGATAAGTAAGTATATATAGATCAAACTAAATCTCCGATATTCCGGCGCGGGAGGAAACGCCCGGGTGTGCTCATTGTGAAGATCACCCGGAGGACAAGTGCATTGATGCATACGGTGACGGTGTGCTCCGCTTGCTTTGAGCACCGCGCCGTGTCCTAGGTGAAGCGATCGGCAGCTGACCCTAAAAAAGGTCATGGTAAAAGCACGGAAGAACTGGGAATCAGAACAGTCATGCTCGCAAAGAAGGAGATAAAACGTGAGAGAACTATCCTCCTCGCATTGCAGACAATCTAGATGATAGGAAACGCTCGATGATATCCGGCCACCGGTACCGTGAGCAAGATAAGCTCGATACCCGACCAGAACTAGATCCGAGCGTACGACGCATCGCATTCGCGCCTTAAATAGATATCAGATCACCATATATGGGACCCTGATAACTTTTAGGAAGAAGACTACACTGCCTCGTGTGAACAATCATGTTTACTGGCATAAAAGAAAACGGATTTATTTTAATTTAACTACCTACCGAATTTTATTTTTCAAATCTTAATTTTTTTTATGGAATAAATCGCAAACTAGCGTGCGGATTATCTGATGGTAAGCAATCGGTGTGTCACGATACCATTTTACAAAGGCGTAGCCGGCTTTTTGGTAATAAGGTTTGCGGATTGGACCTCCGGTAACCTCACTCACACGGCGAAACACAACGCTGTGGTTGTTTTACGTCAGATTTCTGTGAGGCCGTGGTATCACTTCGTTCAAGCCGACTCATTCGTGCCGAAGTTTGACTCTCCCACACTTTCTGTTTCGCTATTAAAAATTCTAGATTACTTCGTCATCAACGTGAAATTCCTAAACCCAACAGAGTGTCATTGATCAATTAGGTACATCGTGACGCTATCTTTATCTCACGCGTTTGATATGAGCGTCAGTAGACGGTTAGACACTTGAACGCTACGTAGCGAGTCTAAACAATTCTTATAATCCGTGATCGAAGATGTATTTAACTCAAAAAGAGCTTGTGTTCTTGCTATTCGCGTTGATCGTTCTTATGGGCATATATTTGTATCTCCAGATTTGTGACATTATCATCAACGCTTTGGTCTTCAAAATATTCGGTGAGTTGTATTCATGACTATGCTATTTTATGATGATTTCCCTCATAATCGTTGTACCTATAATGTTTTATACATTGACTAACTGGCGACCCGCCCCGGTTTCACTGATACAAAACTACTCCATTGTTTAATGGATGTCATTATCCATATAAAACTTCCTCTTTAATCACTCTACTTGTTAAAAAAACACATCAAAATCCGTTGTACAATTTTAAAGATTAAAGCATACATAAGGGCAGACAGCGGGAAGTTACTTTTTACTATGCAATGATTTCAAACGAACCAGCCTACCTGGAAAACGCTGTGGACTAACTCCAAGTGACGTTGATAATACATTTTTTATTTAAAAAAGTATGTCTGTATTCAGTTGTTCTACTTAGAATAACATTATAATAGTTTATTGGAGCTAGATATCAGTGTTTGTAGGTTACGGTAAAGAATGAATCAGTTGCGATAATGCTATCTCCAATATCTTAAGATTAAGTAAGTGTGACTTTGTCAATAAAATAAAATTATATCGTCCTTTATAAATGCCTTTAAGATTTAGCGCTGTGTGGTCATCATCATCAGCCTTTAAGTGCCCACTGCTGAGCAAAGACCCTTTTGCCACACGGAGAAGGTTTGAGCATTTATTCATCACGCTTGATCAATGCGGATTTGATTCAAACTTATAATAAGAAATTTAAAAGTCCAGGTATAAGTTTCTTAGGATTCAGCCAGGGTTGCGAGGCAAGCGTAATAAGTCACCGCGGATGACATTTGATGATTTTCCCCTCACAAAAAAAAGGTTGATTCTCGATGCTTTTCTTCACCGTTTCTCAGTGATGTTTACTAAGAAATTACAAATAACTTGGAAAAAGTCACATTGGTACTTTGACTTGTTTCAAAGCCACATGCATGAGCACTTGCACTTCTAACCCCGGATTTATTAATCTGACTAGGTGGTAATTTGATGGCTTATTAATCTAGATAGATAGCTGCGGCTTATCTAACAAAGATTGGAACAAGGAAGGTATACTAATGGTAGCAAACATAGTTACGTTCGAAGAAGTAGAATGTCCTAGCGAAACAACGAGCCAACAGGCCACCACAGATGGGTCTAACAGGGCTTTATTGTCAGCTGAAATCATCCAATTACTTCTCCCGCCCAAGGTAAGGCGAGAGGGAGTGTCCGGGAGTGTCAGACTTAAAATACCTCCGTTCCTCCTCCTGATTAAGGCCGAGGGGTTCATTGCGCTTATACCCCTCGCGCAAGTTACCCCTATTCGCCGTCACCAGACCCGCATTTGCGGTGGACGAAGATCATCTCCTGCACCCCGACGCCCGGAGTGTCGCCTACTGCGACGGGTGGGGCGTGAGAAGGATGACTGTTTCACAAAAAGAGGAGGCAGCTTCCCAATTCCTCTCGCTTCGCACCATGGCCTCGACTAAGGCCGGGCGCGAGAGGTCGCTGCCCCGATCAATTATCTGAAGACATACTGGCACCGTATGATCCACCGTGTCCTCTGAGTAGTCCTCACAATGACGACACCCAGGGGTTTCCTCCCGCTGGATCTAAAAATACTGATGTACAACTGTGATTGTCTGACAATCCCTCTTACCTCATCCAGAGCGAGAGAACACTTTCCCCTAGTCTTGCGACACCAAGAGATGTCATTTAGGGATATTTCACCCTCAAAAAATAGCGGTCAGTT